TGGACTTCATAGAGTGACTCGAAGAGTAGAACTAGGAGTGCCGAGTTTAGCTTCGTTTTGTTAGTTATGATGAGATCTTACCTCCAGACTTGATAAAGTTACCTGAAGGTGAATTTTGGTGAATGCTGAATTATAGTACTGGTTATGACTAGATGAAAAACTTTTTGAAAAAAAAAAGACTAGTTTTCACGATAACGCCTGAGTACAAATACCTAAAAATTAAAGTTATATTAAAGTTGATTTCTTATCGCTTTAAGATAATTCTGTTAAAAGTGTTTTCAATTAACAATGCAATTTTTTTTGATACTCTATACTAATAACATAGCAAAATTAAAAAAAAAATAGTTTCTATTGTTGATTGAGAACTTTTTTCTAAATGTTTTCGCGATCGTAGTCATTATGAGTCGTGCAATTTTGGGTTTTCCAAACTTATTTATTGACGTTTGACACAAAATTATGGGAAAATTTTAAGTACTTAATAGAAATAAGTTTATGTGTGAAAACTCCGGCATCTGCTCATTCCTGAGAGGGTCTTAGGGCAAAGAATTGTACGCCGCGGTGCCCCAAAGCATGTTGACGAACTTCACATGTCTTCGAAAATTTTATATTCTTATCTTCTAATCGAGCAAGTAGATGAATTTATATTATTGGGATGTGTATTCAGCAGGGATGGGAGATATGATAAAAAAGGAGAGAACAAAAAAAAAGGAAACCAAAAAAAAAGGATATTGAACGAAACCAACAAACAAAACCCCCCCCCTTAAAAAAACCAAACCAACACCCCCCCACCCCCACACAAAAACATTGAAAACGGACCAAAAAAAAAAAAAAGAAAATAAAAAAAAAAAAAAAAAAAACGAGTGAAGGCAGGAAATAAAGTAAATGGGCTTTACACTCTATTGTGAAAATTCAGAATGTGTCAAAAAAGACACGTATGGCAATTCACACTGCTGTATTAGTCCCTACTTTAACGTATGGTAGTGAAAGTTGGGTGTGGCAGAAGAAGCACGAGAGTAGAATAAATGCAGTAGAAATGCGGTCGCTAAGGAGTATGTTAGGGCTGAATCTGAGTGACAGGGTGAGAAACTGTGTGATAAACGAAAAGTGTGGTTTGCAAGACGATGCGGGGACCAGGATTAAGAAAGAAATGCTTCGGTGGTTTGGTCATGTAGAAAGGATGAAAGAGGAAAGACTGACAAAGCAAATATATGTTGTTGAAGTGAATGAAAGAGTCGTAAAGGGACGTCCTAGGCGAACAAAAGTTTGTCGACCAAATTGGCAATATATTAAAAATGGGCCAAATTAAGAGTACCCTTAACCGACAAGCATGGATGCGTAGGTATATGGATGTGGAAGAGGCGAGAGAGATATGTCAGGATCGTGCTAAATGGAAGTCTGTAGTCTCTGCCTACCCCTCGGGGTGACAGGCGTGAGTCTATATTGAGATATATACATATATAATATATAGATGTGAGATATCTGAGAAATACATAATACATGTATATGTATTATGTATTTCTCAGATATGCAGGTTTCCTCATGATGGTTTCCTTCACCGCCGAGCACATGGTAAATCAGCACTTAAAATTGCAATTGACAATTTCATTGGTACCGGCGGGGATCAAGCCCGGTTTGCTCGCGTAGTGTGAAATTTACAGCGAGCGCTAACCTTCTGAGCTACGGCTCTTGCGTAAGGTATGCACATTTGGATTTACAAAAGTTAATTTTATTAGTATTTGTGTATATTATGATGTGTTTTAGTAGATATAGTTTTATTTGTAATACAAGCTATTAGTATGTTTCGTTAACGATTTGTTGATAAAATAATGGTCAAGCTTATATTTAATATTTTTATTGGGCGTATAATTTGTTTCAAATTCAAATTCGGTGACTTTTAAAATGCTTCCATATTTTTGACGTTTTCCAAACATTTACTGTAGTGTCAATTCAAAATGATGTTCTAATCACTGTGGTAAAAGCAGTTTTAATCGTATGTTAGTTAGCTTATTAAATCAACCCATTTTCATGTCAAGTTATACCTTATATCGTATAATGTCTTTTAAAAACCTCACATTTTCACGAAAATGCTACAAATCGGTTATATTGTCGGAGAAGTAGTTAAACTAATTATAATACAGGTGGGGTGCAACACCGAAATACACAGTAAAGAGCACACGCGGCCCCAACTTGCTCCCGCACTAACTTGAAATCGCTTCGAGATTGTAAATGGTTCATGTCATGAGATATAGCGTTTTCTGGCATATATTGTTGTTAATTTTTTGTCTAAACCAAATGCTCAAAAAGGAATTGTTAATCCAAAACTAAATCCGTCAAAAGATTTAAAATGTTCCAATAATAGCATCCGCAACTTGTTTCTCTTGCTTTTCTTCCGACGTGTTTCTTTGTGAATAAATGTTGTGAAGTCCGCCAATACGCACTGGATTAGTGGACTGAATCGACGGGAGAAGAACAACGCTCTCGCAGAATAACAACGTAAAAGAGCAGCTTAATACTGCTGCGTATCGTATAGTGAGGATAGAGTATCGGAGACTTTTTTACGAGAAACAAGGCATTCGAAATTAGTCCTCAGAAATGCCAACACATCTGCATTTTGATTCTTAATCGATGATTGATGTAGGTGTATATGTCACATCATGTACTTACCATCACTATGACTATGTTTCTGTTTATCACCTATGTTGTATGATGTAATTACAATTTGGTGGCTGCATGAGAAAATCCATCACCCCTTTCCGTCCAGTGAGTGTTGCAAAAGGTGACTAATAAATGGCGGTATATGTCGTGTATTTACGGCGATGGATAGCGGTGTCAAAGGTGCGAGACGCCTGGTACTGCTATCGATTAAGCAGCCGGCAGGAAAAAAACAAAAAAAAATGTTTAATTTCTTAAGTTAGTTGACCGAATTATAGGTGGTAAAGCCATTCCGCAGCTTTATTATGGTTGAACTCTCAAAATATACACTCTCAAAGAACACCAGCGTGAAATAGCAGCTTAATGTTGCTGTGTTTCATATGGCACCTACCATAGAATTGGGAACCCTTTTTAATTGGAATCTATGTGGATTCTTTCGTTTTGATTCTTAATCAAGGACAGATGTAGGTTTTTATGGGCCACAACGCCGACTTACTAGCAGGTGGACTAGGTGCTCGTTATCCACTTTTTGCTACGAAAAAATCCGTTGTATGCTTTTAACTTAATTTGCAACTTGAGCCAACACATTATTTAAGCTAATATGAAAATTGTTCAACTAATAACGCAGTCGGGGCACGTACTTGGATCTATTCCTGGGGCCCTCGTGCCTGCCTGCAGTTCAGTGAAATTATAATTAAACTTGACAGTGACGAGCCACATGCTACGTTTGAGTCGTGAACTTCGTGATATAGCCAACTTGGAAGCTGTGAATGTGATGAAAACTAATAAATGATCGAATTGCGTTACTTTGACTTTTTACCGTTAAACTGTTATTTATTTTGCTATATTTATATTTATTATACGGAGTGATAGATTCTCGCTGCAGCTATAATATTTATAGTTGTAGCACGACTGGGTCAGTTCAATCGAGGAGAAACCACGCTCTGAAAGAATACAATTGTAAAATAGCAGCTTAATACTGCTGTGCTTCGTTTGATGAGATGAATGTAGATGTGGACCATGCCACACTAACAGATATACTATTTGCTCGTTTACCAACTCTTAACTACAAAAAGATTCTAACTTCCGCGATGCTAAGACATAATGGATACCTCTAACGTGTACCCCATTAAAACAGTACCGCATATGTAAATTGTTATCCTGATATGTTAAAAGCCTTTGTTACTTGATATGAGCGTAATGTAAGGCAAATTCAATGTACGCTACACTCTATTCGCTTTATGCGAGCTAAGAGCTCCTCTAACGAACCGGATTCTACTTTGATCCCTGTTACTGTTTAAAACGTGTATTTTAGTTGGAAAATATTATCTGGTAATGGGCGCTTTTAAAATGTATATTTTAGTACACAGGCGACATACAGTAACAAAATCGAAGAATATAAGAGTGACAAAAACAAACATTTAATACTCATATATGTAAAGATAACGGCGTAAAATAAAGACAGGAAAATCTAATTTTGAAGCTATTTATAAGAGGTAGAGCCATGCTACAGCTACGAGTATAGTAGGTTACATGTTAAATACGTTTTATAAGGAAAAAGCAAAACGAAAAAATATATGAAATTATATATTTAATTAATCAAAGTATGCACCATTGTTATCTATGCATTTTACCGCTTTATAGGCAGTGCATTTATTTCTTTGCTCAAAAAAGTGTGGGAGCGAGAGTCAGTAAAATCTTTGAAGGCAGTTTTGACTGCCTCATCGGAGTTGATTTTTTTCCTAACAAGAAGCTATCCAAATTTCACTGATAAACAAAATATAAACATAGTTGATTTGTTAAAGTATTTATCCATTTTTATTGTTATTTTTATAACTTAGCAGAACTAATATTATTTTAAGTGGCGGTCTCGGTCTGAGGGCGTCATCCCTTTGGATAGAGTGGTGTCTAATAAAAGTTACTATTCTTAATTTTTAATTGATATTTACAGTTTAAATTTCTACATTTTATTATTTGTGTTCAATAAAAATAAAAAATGCTAAAGTGTAATGGTGGAAAGTTTACAAAATTGCAGAGTTGTAGTGCGTTAGAGCTAAAATCATACACAGTTTAAAATTTAATAAATAGTTTAGCTTGACAGGCAATGGTTATTCGTCTTATTTTATTATTATTTTTAATCTAAGTATAAATAAATGATTATCAATTTTATTTACATTCTTTATTAATTTCATCTTTTTGATTTGCAGACTGGCGGTGGTGTTGGTGGGTATAATATACCCTCAGACGAAATACTGTATCGTGTTACCAGTTTATTGGGGATACGGCCAGTGGATTAGTTGTTCCTTATGGGGGAGATAAGGAACCTGACCACTTTGTAGTGATTTGTGATGGTGGTGGTATTTTGCCAAATGGTGATAGATAGTGGATTAGAGGAATTAGGTGGTGATGCTAGGGTCAATCTAGGAATCCTAGAGTTTCAGGACACACCAGTGCCAGATCCGCAAATGGAAACGGTTGTGATCCCTACTTATCCACATTTAGCAATGGCTCAGGTTAACACCTGTGCTGTTGCTGAACAAATTAAAGTTTCGGATATACCACGGAGAGTAACATTCAATGTTCCTAAAACAGGTAATGGTTATTTTGATGTTGATAGAATTTTAATTTATAAGATAACAATTTCACATGGTGTGCCGTTCACTGAGGTGGTGGTATGGTGACTAACTTGTAGTCCGCTTTAGTTTAAAAGCAGTGTAAAATGAGATAAAATAGTAATATGTCAAAGATATACTCCTTTTTTATTAAAAAAAAGGCTATAACTTGTAATTTAATAAATGAAATTAATTTGTATTTTACACGTAAAAGGAAATTGCAGAGTGATGGGTCCAAATCTGCTAGAGACCGTGCCATTGCAGAATATTATATATTTAAAAAACTGTGCCTAGAGTCAAAATTAGATTATATAAAATTAGAAAATAAAAAACATAAATTAGAAAATGAAAAACTTTTATTAGAAATAGAAAATTTAGAAATAGTTATTTATGTAATAGTATATAAGTGTAAAAAATAATTATGTATTTTGATATATAAAAGACAGTCATATGTCTGCAAGTAGTTGTTAATAAATTCAAGCCTTGTATATGTATTCATGATTTGTTATATTAGTAGTTATATAGTTTGTATTTGAAAATCTTTTAAACTAATAAAATATGTATGTAATAAATGTATAAAAGGTAGATTAATGTCTTAGTAACATAGAAATAAAAGAATAAAGTCATTTTTATTGAATATTCGTTTTATTTTTACAATTAACTTCACAAAATATAAAGAAAAACAACACTTGCGATTTCTAAGTTCTTCGCCTGCTAAATAGCTTATAATATATAAACATTATTATTACTAACTTGTAATAATAAACTAATTGTAACTTGTGTTTAAATTGAACAAAAATTTAAAAAGGGTAAGTATTTTTACTTACTTGGAGACATGGATGATATGTGGTATAAAAGAGTAAAAGGAGTTAAAATTAAATACTTTTTTAATGTCTAAGTATTATAGTAATAATTGTATTTTAACAGAAAAAAATATATGGCCTGTTTGGAAAGGCACTATCTCCAAGTAACCAGCGATTTCCGAATTGGTCTGCATCACATTCAGTTGTTATAAAAATAAAGAAAAAAGGCTTTGACAGTAAATATCCAAATTTATTACAATTTGAATATACATTATTTACGCCTACCTCTCAGAATAGAGTTATTAAATAAAGTTGCATCATGCGTAGAACCAGGCCAACGAGCCACATTTTTTAATTTTAAATCTGCATCACAAACACCTTGAACATTTAAAGAAAAGTAACCCTTCCGATTTCTGTATTCTCACCCTTTAAATGGCCTAAAATATATAAACATTATTATTAGCAACTTCATAGTTTATTCATATTTGCCAACATTTTAAGAAGAGTTGAGTATAGTTACTTACATGGGGACTGTATGCGGATATGTGTGCCATCAATTGCCCCAAGCACACGAGGAAATCCAGCAATTCTATAGAATTTGTCTGCACTCCTTCGATGATCATAAATATAATTATCATATAATTGGGCAATTGCTGATGATGTGCCTCGCACTATTCTGCCTGCTGTAGATTTTGACACTCCAACAAAATCTGCTACGGATATCAACATTGTGCCTAGTGCATAAAACCGTAGGGTCAACAAAAGTTGATGCAATGGTGATACTCCGTAATTTCTGAAAAGGATTACATAAAATGAAGTATATTATGTAGATTTAAAAAAAATTATCTAATTTACTATAGACCAGCTTTGCTTTACCTCGTGGATGTTACTCGTAATAATGGGGTTATTTTTAACAATAAAGAATTGAACGCATGTTTGTTCAATCGAAACCTAAAGCTAAAATCACCGTTATCGAGACTTTGCGTATATTTCACTCTTCTGATTCTCTTTGGAGGGCGACGTAGGGCGGTCATCTTCATCACTCGAGTCAGATAACTGAGCTAGCATTTCCAAATCACTGTCACTGTCACTAGATAGTAAGGTTAAATCCATTTTCGCGCAAATAAAATAAAACAAAATACTAATATCGGTTGGAACTCGAAGGATTAATCCTAGGCTTTTCTTGGATTGCGAATTTGGATTGTTTACACCGATCGAACTAAACCTCAAAATTGACAGATAGGTTATTGATACACACAAATTGTCATTCGCCCACACAGTTCTATTTTTTTTGTAATCCGACCTCTCGAGAATAGCTTGCTTCTACAGATTGTAATTTTAATCCCTGGATTGGTTGTTGGCACTGTCTAACCATAAAATGGATTGAATTATCAATCTTGGATAGCTAAAAATAGATTGAGATCGATATTAGGTTCGGGCGTTAATGACATACAAATATTTTTAAGGAATAAGAGTTACATCGAGCACACAGTCCACTTGATGATAAATGGATCCTGTTGCCCATAAACACTCACTGTACGAAGCACAGCAGCATTGGGCCGCTCTTTTATGCTGGTATTCTGAGGGAGAAGGACCAGCTTCATCGGTCGAGCCGACCCATTTGTGCTACAACTATAATATAGCTGTAGCATGACTCTACCACGTAAAATTTACTTGTAATCCATACTAAATTAGTGATCCACCCCATCTCAATAGCAGTGCCACTTAATGGGTCTAACTAAGTTTTTAAACCATCCATCAGCCCACTCAAATACACACAAAAAATTCATCAAAACTGTTCGAGCTGTTGTTTTTTTTTTTTAATTTTTTTTGTTTCTTTTAGCGAGACTGACGGACAGCGATTGATTTTTATATATAAGATTAATAATTTTTCAATTATTTATTCCACATACATTTCTATGAGATAAGTCACCGTATTAAAAATAACAAGCGACTTTGTTTCCAGAACGTTTCTCATCGAATACACTTTAGCTCTAAGTTGAGAAGCAACACAAAAATGCCTCGCGTCCTCAGTAACTCGCGACAGTAAGTACAGATAAATACAAACGGCACAAATTCAAAACAACTCTTTACTCACGACGAACGAACATCTGTTGATATAAACAAGTCGACATATTCAAGGGCTGTCCAGATCACAGCCCAGGGGCCACATTTGACACGTTACTATTTAAGCGGCCCGCAAAGTGCTTAGTGCTTCTTATAGTTCTATAGACTGAGAGACTTCTGCTTACTAGATAGATCTTTTAATGGAATAATTGTGACCAACGAGCACACAGTTCACCAGGTATTATGCAAATTTTTGGCTGTTTTTATATGTTATATGTGATAATTAATAGAATCAGGCGTTATTTTGCGGAAATACGTTTTATTAAAGTTCTTAAGAATTACTTCGCCCCTTCCACTCAATGAAATAAAACGATGTCTTATACCTTGAAGAGAACCTCCCGCCCTCTTTTAATTTCGTGCACTGTCCCCGTCACCACTAATCCCAACACCTCTCGCCGAGGGCAGAAGGTGTTCTTCAAACCAGGTAAGACATCATTTTATTTCACTGAGCTGTAGTGGACGAAGCAATTCTTAACTTAACATTAATGTTATTTTGTGAGATGTACGTGTCATATTTATATATTCTCTGTATATGTACGGAGCTTTTTCTATTTAAACCAAAGTAGTTTGGAGACTAATATACCGTGATTTAGGCCTTCGTAGTTGTACAATCCATTAACGCTATTATGACGCTGTGACAGGCACCGCAAATTGAGTATATTGTTTTTATCCAACTATGCATAAAAAAAACTGCATCTTTGGTGCGCGGGGACAGGTCCACTCAACGGCATTCTTAAAGTGATAGGTGACAGCGTGAATTATTACTACTTGCATCACTGTTGTCAAAATGCATATTAAAGTTAAAGTTACATCCTATATATGTCCCATAGCTGGGCACCATTTTTGATTTTAGGGAAAGGAAATGTCCACCGCGTCGCCCCAATGCGAGTTCCCGTGTCTTCGAAATATAATTTAGCGATTTGACGGCTGGACATATTAATAATTCAAGTGAATGTGTTTCTTTATATGATAATAATAGCGTATATTATTATATAAGTGTATATAAAAAAATGGTAAAATAATATATTCCTTCAAAATGTAATGAGTCCTGGATATTATATAAATAATAATAATAATAATTAAAAAAACGTTCATGCATATAATTTGGTAATATTTACATAATTTTATCGTTTTAACTCTAAAGATGGCGCTCTCCGTCTAAGCCGTTCGATCTTGATGGAACTATTTAGATAATTTAAATGTCGTAGCATATAATGTAAAAACTGAGTTGTCATCGATTTAAAATGTATTTCAATAAAATTTGAGATCTTAATATACCTTTTGCTTTTAAAATATAATTAATTATATAATTATAATAAATAAACATACTATATTTTCTCCAACTCTATCACCCTCATCAGCTTGCGACAGTCTATTGTTGGACATAGGCCACACCCAAGGCGCAAAACCTTGGCCCGAACTTCGGGTAGATGCATGAGTTTGCCTAGGTAAACTCCTTCATGAAACGTCTACTCTAAAGGTTGACACTTTTGCGACAGACGTGAGCAGTCCATTTACTTCAATTTAAGGCTTATAATATTAGGTTACAGCTGAAGTCATAATTTTCATTGACCCATAAATCTCTACAACTTGCACAGCCCTGATATAAAACGTAAAATGATCCACTCAGCAAGCACTCACAAAAATGCTCCGTTTATTTCCTATAAGCTCGTCTTTATACATAGCCATTACATACATTGCCGTTCCCCAGTTTACATGTTATTTTAGAATAGAACTTAACATGCAATGTAAAGCTACTGTTGTAAAAGTCAGAGAATAACAGCGTAAGATTACTTCAGTGTATTTTCAGACGCACCCTGAGGGTATGCGCTAACGACTGCATCTCTTCTTTGCACTTTTCTCCACGAGTGTACATTTTATATATCCATTGTTTCGTTTCGTTTTGTATCTGAAGTGCTTAAGTATTATTAAGTCTGTATTTTATTATTTATATTGATATTTACTTGCATTTATGTAAACATTTATTCAATGTTGTAAGATAACACTGCGAAGAGACAATAATCACGTAAAAAGCCGCATAAATCAAGGAAGGACCACGTCCAAACCAAAGCATTATCCTGGTAATGTTTTAATTTGTTAGTGACCTGTCCGGGCTCCACCTGGATAGAAACTATTAAT